CCTGGCTGAACCCAGTGCAGGGACCTCTGGAGGTCTAGCTCAACCTCCTGCTTGGGCAGGACTAACTTCAGAGTTATATCAGGTTGTTTAGAACCTTGTCCACTCATTGTAAAAATTTTTCTCCTTACAGTCATCTGACCTTGTCATATTCAATGACCCTTATTTGATGGCACAAAAACTGTCTTTAATCAAATTCAAAAAACAGTCTTTAAGATTAACTTGCATAATGTAAGATAATTTTATACCAACCTGAAAAAATATGAATTGGCCTTCATGCCTCCAGAAGTTGGTAACTGGGTAACCACCATGGCCTCGGCAGGAAAGGAGACGCAGGGGTCCATTGCAGTTTGGACAGCATTTCCCTGAACAAAGATGGCAAGAAATATTTTCTACACAACACCGATGAGGTGAATCTTATGGGATACAATGGTTTATGGGTGGTGGATTGCCACTTGCTATTTGGGGCTCAGAAACTACACTGAGGAAAACTATGCAAAAAAACTTTGAAACATAAGCAAAAATCAATATAAACAAGCTAATTATTGCCTTTATACTGTTCCATTATTAAATATAACTGGAAAAAATCTATTATAGCTTTATTATAATTTTATAATTTATTATATTTGTCAGTTTAGTTGTTTTTAACTTGGTAATGTCTGTGATGTGTTCTTGTCTGATTTTTCTAGGGGACATAATTCTGACCTTAATGCGTGCCTGAGTAATACCTTTCTTTAGCCAAAACGTTCATCAGATTCAGAAATCAGTATGTGCTAGCTGTACGGAGAAGTCAACAATTGTTTGGAATGGTCTCATTAAAAATGTGCATGTTGTCTATTTGCATTGTCATTCTCTATTTGCAACACACACACAAAAAGACATGACTATGAGGCCTATTTTCCAGTTACCATAGTTTATGAGCAACTTCTTTCCTGCATGACTTGCTTCCTGAGTTACTCTTGGGCACATGCAATAATGAAGCCAACACTCAGGTCAGCAAGAGCCGCACAGCAGGGAAGCTGCCCGCACTGCAAAACTTTCTCAGCAGCCTGACTCATGGGCCTGAGAATCAATCTCTAACCATCAGAAACAGAGCTTAAAAAGAAAACAAACAAGCAAACAACTCCTCCCCCAACAGTAAGAAATGTATAATGCATTGTTCCAAATCAAGAGTTGCATTTGAATATAAGGAATGGCAGCGAGAATGTTGGATAATCCAAAGGATATCCTTGACTTTGATTACTTTTATGCTGTGTTCACCTATGAAGTGCCATATAACGAACAGCCATGTCCATACTCACGCTGTTGTTTTTGCCTAGCTTTATCACATATGGCTGGTCTGAGGTAGATCTTCCTCCCGTCCAAGGTCGAGCAGTCGTTGCTGCAGACTACCACCCCGAGGCAGGACTTTTTTAAAATGCGAGAGTTGTGGTTGTTGGTGTTTCTCATTGCCCAGCTGCTGTGGTGCCTCTGAGCATTTTTATCCTCTGAGCTATAGATATGTTTTACATAGGAATCTGGCCACTCTTGAAACCAGTCTGTCTGTCTTACGTCCTGTGGAGAGACCAAAGCAAGCCGCGTTTTAGGCTGGGGAAGAGAAGAGCTTGTGCAAGAGCCCAGCACACCTGTCCTTTAGCCTGGTTGACTCCAGCACCCCGGAAGGTGATGATGGTTGGCAGGAGGGAGCCGTGGAGAGAAGGCAGAAAAGCCACAGCTCCCCATGCCCCAAAGCCTCAGGAAGGCCTGGCCAGGAGGCTGTTCTCACCTACCCGTGGGTCCAGCTCTGTGCAGGACCTCTGCAGGAGGGGGAGGCGGGGCTCCTGACGTGCAATAGCAACTATTTTCCTTGCAGACAGCAGTCACCGCCTGACTAACTTCTGTTAGCTTTCATGGCAGAGATCCTGCTTTGCCTTGCAGGCTATTCACAGCAGCCTAAATCATTTGGTTTGATTTGGCTCAACTCACTGAAAAAAGGGCAAATACTGAATCAGACTGAGGCTATGCCCACATTCGTAGGTCTTTAGTTCTGGACTTTTGTTCATTTTGGCCTAACTTCCACGGTGATTTTTCTGAAGTCCAAAACAAAGAAATCTTGGGCAGATTTTATTTTCCCTGCTATGGACTAAGCAAAAACAAACAAACAAACAAACACACACACAAAAAGCCCAAGAACAACACTGTAAGGAAAAATAAAAACAAAACTCAATGCAAAAAACCCTAAAGGACCAAACACACGTCACCTCAATGGGTACAGTCAACACAGTAAAATGCAATGGAAAAAGTCTTGTAGAGGTTCAAAAACTTAGGAATTTCCTTGAAATTGCTGATCCCAGCCACTGAGAGCCATTCCAGCAAGAACATCAACTGAGAAGAGAGAAATTGCTGTGCTCCCCCAGGAGCCATCGGATAGCGTAGGGAAGGGTGTGGAGGAAGCCTACAGGCTGAAACACAGTTGAAGGTGACCTTAAGGTGGAGGGTAGGGAGGGAGGCAGCCTGGGGCATGGAGACTTTGGGTGAACAGCAGTGTCATGGTAGGGAAGAGGCTGGAATCAGGTAAGAAGAGAGGGTTGGGAGGTGAAAGGCAGAGATGGTTACTGAAGGACTGCAGCAGGAGGAATCCGGCACAAATATGCCAAGGTGAAGGACAGGAAGGTGGTGTTGGTGTGCAGGGTGCTGTGGGTTTTCAGCAGAGCATGGTTGAAATTTTTAGATAAGAGGACTTGAAAAAGACCGAGGGAAGGAAAGGTCACTATTCTGCCTCTCAGCAAATCTCTGCAAACACGAAAGCTTTTCCTGGATGCTCTCTGCATGGAAAGCCAGCCTGCTTGCCTGGAGCCCAACCTGCAGCGACTGAGCATCCAGAGGTGCAAGGCTGTCGTGGGTGCTGTGCTCACTTCTCATGAAGCACTACCCAGGGCAAAAACCAAGTCCTGGACATCTCCAGTTGAGCACCCACTGCAGGAGATAATTTTTTCCCTTGCTTTCTCTGAACCTCATTCACCAGTGAACTAGAAAAGCAGCACATCTGTGGTATTGAGATTTTTCATGTATCAGCAGCTTTTTTCGGTAATACTCTTAAGGAAAAATGCATGGAAACTTCAATATTTGCTCAGTATTTTCTAGCTTTTCAGTAAAACACTGTCCCATACCTCGAGGTGGCAAAGAGAATAAAAGCATTGAGGCATAGATGACTGAGAAGGCATTTAAGATCAGCGGTGAAGTGTAGGCAAATGGTCAGAAATGGATAAATTTCCAAGACGCAGACACGTACCTGGGGAAGTTTGATGTCATTGATATCCCAGCTTGTCAATTCTCCATGTTGGGAAGCAGCACTCTCCTGCTCCATAACATCATCATTTGGACCTTTCAGCATTTTTTAATGTCTCCCCAAAGTTAGTGAGAAACTTTCTCCTGGCTGCTCTTGAAGTTGACTGGCTGTCAGCACTCCCAAGCAGTTTACAACCAGGAAGCTGTTTCCTGAAGCTAAATGATAGAGAGGCTGCTCATTAAAGATAAAAATCAGTCGTCTTCTGCCAGAAAAACTTGTTCCATTAAAAATTTTGCAAGCCAGCAATGCAGTGGAAAATATAGCTGAGAGATAGCCTGTGATGTTACAGAGGCATTGTTAACAGCAAGCAAATCGTGCCTTTGTCATCTGTTTTGTTTTGCTTGGTCTCCTCTCATACCAAGTTTATAGTCACGTAACTGCTCACAGGCTCTTTGTACGTCTGATCCTACTCTGGCTCTGTATTTCCAGAGCCCAACTGTTTGCATAGGTCAGCAGCTGCTAAGGGCTCTTCGAGTCGCTGCTTACCCTTAAAATCTTTCACACTCTGCAGATGACAAAGGTGAGCAATAAGAGGGGACAGATACATCGTTCCAGATGAAAAGGCTCTCAAACATTATTATGTTATTATATTATTGTATTGTTGGTGCTTCTGACAGCTTACCAATTGCATGAGGGAAGTGTAGAAAAGGAGGTTGGGCTACCTGCATTTCCCTATCTCAACAACAGACTGATGTAAAAAAGCCCCACCAAGGTATGTTTGTTAAAACCAAAAATTTTTTGCCTGAAATCTTGTAAAGCAGGTGGTTGCCCTACTCCGAATTTCAGTACCAGCCAAGCTTAATACCATATCCTCAAGGGGTCCCACGCATGAAAAGGTTTGGGGGTTTGTTTCCTTTGGCAAGGAGAGAAAAGGCGAATCAGAAAATGAACAGGCCCGTTTTCTCATTCTGGAAACTGGGAAAGCATCAGTGGTTTCAGGAAGGTCACAGTAATTTATGCCAATTAAGGATTTGTTGAAGACTACTGAGTGGTGGGAGAAGTAAATTCTACTTGAGGTGATTCTGTTTCATACACTTTATTAAGTGCAAGTTATTTTATTGTTACTTCATATGCACAGCCCTTGGAAAATGACTCAACCTTCATTGTCCTTAGTTTACCTGTTTATAAAGTATCTGTGATCTTAATTTCTTGTGTTATCACCTCTAAAGCAAGAATTAGCAGACATTTGCAGAGCACTTGAGACATTTGGCTGTATGGTGCTCTGGCAGCATAGTCAGAGCCCCGCTGTCCCACTTTGTGGCTCAGGCCATGAGGGTGGGGGACAAAAGTGGCTATGGCAGAGCATTCCCCAGGGAGAAAGACCCCACAGAAGGATGCCTGGCAGTCAGCACCAGTGTGCTCAAGAATCAGAACGGATGCTGGTTCTTGGAGGGCAACTAACCCATCACAGGTTCGAAAAAGATGTTAGACTGGAGGGCAGGGGAACATCGCTGCTCAGAAATATGAACAGCTGTAAGAAACATCAGGTCTTCATATATTTTCATATTGCACGACAGTGAAGATCGAGATAGTGAAGTCAGGAAAAACAAAACATGAGCTGCATTGGAAAACTATTGAATTTACTAAACAAAGTGACCCTTGACTATTACGTGCTCTAAAACATGAAATGATTTATTAGATAAATCAAAATGATAGTCCCACTGCTTTTACAATCACTTTTTAAAATGAGATGGCTTAGAAATTGATTTTTATTTTCCTTCTTATTAGAGAAAATGGAATATTTCTTCTTTAATGCTATATTGATAGAGATAAAACAATAATGAAATATTATCTTAAAGTTTAATGAAAGACTGATAATTTCAAAACAATATGCACAAAAAAAATTGCAGAGAATCATACACATTTAGCTACTTGCAGGTAAAACTGAAATAGTAGCAAAAACTTTGAGCGATGAGTACAGGATGATGCAGCATACTAAAATTCTGATTGGTATTTGTGTAGTTTTAATTATTACTAAAGTGTAGCAGCTTTATAAATGTGGAGTTCTGAAAAATTTTGTCTTTCTTTCTTATCTTCCCCTTCCCCATCCCATTCCCCTCTCCCTTCCCTCCCCTTCCCTTCTGCAGAAAAAATGGTTCTGCTCCTCTCAGAAAAAAATGTGAAAATTTAGATGTCAACACTGAACTATTTTGATTCAGAAAAATACATGTAAGAAAAATGGGAATTCTTATATTAGGAAGGAACAATGTAAGTAAAACCTCTGTTTGGCACTGGAATGTGGTGCAATTAATTAATTGTGCTTGAAAAACAGTGAAAGTAATCTAGTTCTTCTCCTGCCCTTTGGTTTATTTTTGTTTTCTTATTTCTTGTAAATGCTCATCGATATAGAAGGGAAACAGCAGAGTGTAGCAAGGTTCTGGTTTTGGTCCAATGTTTAATGTATCTATTGATCATCTGGAAGTGAAGAAAATAGAAAAGGACCAAAAAAAAAAAAAAAAAGCGCCCAGACTACAAAAATGTATTTGGATTAATCCTTATGAAGAATTTACTTATATTTCACCCTGAAAAAATAATTCCTTCTTAGAAGGGTAATATTTAAAGTAGTATTATCAGGAGAAGTGTGGCCAGCAGGTCGAGGGAGGGGATTCTGCCCCTCTACTCTGCTCTGGTGAGACCCCACCTGGAGTGCTGCATCCAGCTGTGGAGCCCTCAACATCAGAAGGACATAGACTGGTTGGAGCGAGCCCAGAGGAGGCCACGAAGATGCTCAGAGGGCTGGAGCCCCTCTGCTATGGGGACAGGCTGAGAGAGTTGGGCTTGTTCAGCCTGGAGAAGAGAAGGCTCCGGGGCGACCTTATTGCAGCCTTCCAGTACCTGAAGGGGCTACAAGGAAGCTGGGGGGGACTTTTTACAAGGGCCTGTAGTGACAGGACAAGGGGTAATGGGCTTAAATTGAGAGTCGGGAGATTTAGAATGGATGTAAGGAAGAAATTTTTCCCAGAGAGGGTGGGGAGGCACTGGAACAGGTTGCCCAGAGAAGTTGTGGATGCCCCATCCCTGGAAGTGTTCAAGGCCAGGCTGGATGAGGCTTTGAGCAACCTGGTCTAGTGGAAGGTGTCCCTGCCCATGGCAGGGGGGTTGGAACTAGATGGTCTTTAAGGTCCCTTCCAACCCAAACCATTCTATGATTCTGATTCTATGATTCTATTTATCTTACTGAACTGCTCTCAATTAACTTGTGGCAATGACCGAGGTATCCATATGGGTAGTACCACAAACACAAGGAGCGACCAGGCTGTTGGAATACAGAAACACTGAGGTAAAGAGCCATGCAATAAACTGTGGTATTACCAATTCACAGACCATCACTGATTTTTCCCTTAGGCTACTGTGCAAATAGACTAGTCCTTCCCAGAAAGAGAAAGGGCTCAGGGCACAGGAAATCCATAAAAGCTGGGATGTTTACTCTAGAAAAGAGACGTATAAGCAAGGGCACTATAAAAAATGACCTAAAATACAGAAGAGTGTGGAAGAAGCAGGGAGTGCTTCTCATTTAACTGCCCAAGAGCTCAGGGGCACCGTGAAAACAACTGACAAATTCAGAAGTGAGGCAAAGAAATGCATTTTTCATCCACTATATAATTAGCATCAGTTTGTCTAATGAAAGCCATTTCCTCTCCCTACAAGCTTTGCCCTAATTATTTCTTTAGACTCTTGTGCTACAGCATTACTATTGCTGTTGCTGTAGTGTGTCATTGAGGTGGAACACTAGGCAGGACTGAAAAAGAGATCAAAAACATAGGAAAGAAATAATATTTGAAGATCTGCTATTAAACACATACCTGTGTAACATCTGAAATATGTTAGAATACATTTCGAAAGAGATATTAAGCCTCATATTTTATGACTTATGGAAATTTTTAACTAGCAAGTATTAGAAAGGTTTCTTCTATTTCCCTTGGAAGTACTTGGTGTTGACCACGTAGGAAAAGGATTATAAGTTTTTAAAAGGGATCACAGAATCACAGATTGGTTTGGGTTGGAAGAGACCTTAAAGATCATCTAATTCCAACCCCCCTGCCATGGGTAGGGAACCCCCCTGCCATGGATAGGGAGATGCTGTATATTACCAATTTACATGAGCCTGCAGGTTAAATTAATTCACTATAACCTTCGAGCTCTTTTTTGGAAGGATGGTCGTGCAGAATAACCATAAGCACAGACAGACGTCAGGAGTTCTTCAGCAGTCATCTACGACGAGATCAGGGACTGGAAAAAGCCCTGAAAAGCTTCTTGCGTTCAGGCTCACACCCTGGAGAGGGCTGTGTGACCCTGCGGAGCAGCGCCTGAGGAAAGCCACCGTCGTGGCAGGGGTTGTCCCCCGCTGCCTGCCTCTGCTGCAGGAACACGTGGGTGTAGGCTATCAGAGCTGTCACCAGATCAGGCTCCTTTCTTGTATTGCTTTAGCACCCCACGAAGAAGGTGCTTTTGTCAGTGGTCCCATCAGTCTTCCTTTTTCTCTCTTGGGTGTCATCTTTCAGCCATGACCACCTCTAACTGATCTCAGGGGCAATAAGTGACCCTTTGCATGGGCTGAGTTACCCGGCCGGCCAACAGCCTGTGTGTCACCATCTGCCACGGCTGCCTTTGTGCCCTGCCTACAAGTGCTTGGTTTTCCCTGACACAGAAAGGTTATCCCTGCTGGTGGGAGCTCAGTTCCAGTTTTTTCAGCTCAGCCTTGCTGTTTGATGAACAGGATGAAGTAATACGATTAACGTCCCAGGCGCGGAGCATGAACTCACTACAAATAGGCATGTCATTTGCAATGAGAAGACTGTTTCGGCCTGGGCAAACATGAGCTGGGGATGCTGCTCATTTTCTGGAGACAAGCTTTTGTTCCCAGACAGCCCTAACATACCCTCGAGTTGGCTGCCTCTGTATTCAGCATCATTTGAAATGCTTATGCTGTCTCCACCGTTCAGTATCCAAAGTGAAATCTTCTCCGCTGGGTCTGGCTCTTTGAAAGAAAGATGGGCGTATTTTGAGATGGAAGTATTTTTAAATCCTTGGTTGGTTTGTCTGTC